CTTTTCCAATTTGCAAGCGAAAAATTGAAAATGCGACGACGACGAATGTGATGAGCGGAGATGGATGAGGAGGAAATGCCGGGAATGGCTACGTCAAGTAAATAAATCCATACGGTTCATAAAAAGAGTTGTGTACCATATATAAAAACAATCTGTAGCTGCTTTGCGGCTCAACAAACTGCCGGACATTCGAAATGAAAGCCACTGAAAATGTTGTTAAGCGTTTGTGTCTGGGCGCGGTTGATTAAAAATATATACACAAAAGTACACAGCCATATATATGTATATTTTATATATAAATCACAACACACACGTTCGTGTACAAATTGTGTAAAAAATTGGTTAGCAAAATCGATTTGAGTGGCGAAAAGACAGGGAGTGAGCGAAAAAAAATTGTAATTAAAATTGAATTTCAGTTAGTGGGTGTGTGTTATTTTGTTTTCATCTCGACGGGGCCATGGGCAGTAGCTTTGGGCCACGCCCTTCGAAAAAACAACTGGGGGCCGACTAGCGAAAAAATTCGTGAGAGATTTGCGCAGACTTGGGAGTTGTCATGGCGCCAACAACCCGAAGAGGGTGCAATTTATTTAATTAGATGCATAAAAACTCATTAAGATAAGAGCTGCTGCTGCTGCTGCTGCTGGTTGTTGTGCCTCCAGGTTTCCACAACCCCCCTTTCACTCCCCCCTTGTCCATCACCATCACGTTGTTCAAGTGCGCGAATCAACAAATGCGCCAAAGTGCAGGACTCAGGACTCGGCATCCTGGAAGGAGTGGGGAATTGTTATGCTCACTTGCAGCCAGTTGAAAAGTAGTGCCTTCCACAGGTACGGATTTGCTGGGGGATTGAGTTGCCTGCTCTGAGTAATTAACTTGAGCAACGATGCTGCGATGACGACAATAAAACGTCGACTTAATTAAGTGACACAAGTGCATCGCGTTGTTGCTGCTCTTGTCGCCCAAAGTTGTTGTTGCCGTTGTTGCTGCTGCTGCTGTCCTGGCTCATAAATATATCACGACTTTTAGCTATGCATTACTTGAATGGGAACTTGGAAGTAGGGAATTACTTTAAAAGTTTCAGGGAAACTAGCTGATGAATTTATATAAATAATTACTTCCTCTTTAAACAGAGAAAAGTGGTTGAAGTAAAGATTTTTTAAATAATTTCTTGAAGATATGCTATAAAGGCTTTAAATTTTTGATACTTATATCAATTCAATATATCATCAAAAATATTAATCCCGAAAAATGCACTATATCATAAAATGCACTTAAAATTCCGTATATTGAAAATGCAAGCGAAGACCTTCCCACTGGCATCGCATATCATGTTCCCTTCTTGTTATCTGCATATTTTACCCCACCCAGTCCCGAAATCTGTTGTATCACTAAGCCAGCCCGCATAGTTTATATAGTTACAGCGGCTCAGTTCCGAATACTACACATAACACTCGACGAAACTGAGCAATCGAGCGGACGGAGTATCAATGACAAATCAGGGCGTGACTAATCGCCTAATTGCAAAACAAACCGCAGCCGAAACAGAAACGGCCTTGCCGTCCCCTCCTCCTCCCTCTCCCCTTCATTCCCCCTCCTTCTAATCCAAACGTTCAGACCCTTAGCGATAAAAATGCAAAATTATAATTAGACAGCGATTAGCCAATGGCCCCATGGGACTCAGATTGCGCACTTTATGCAGGCGCTCTCCTCCCCTCCGAAGAACGCGTTCTGTGATTGAATTACACTAGGCGAAAATGCGGGTGGAGGTCGAGATCGGGATGGAATACCGGGAATCGTCGAGATACGACGAGTGTTATGCAGATAAACTTGAAGTTTAGTCAGAGACCACAAATCCCTGAATGCAACAGGGGTTCGAAATGGGTTGCAGTGGATTACGGAGAGACTACGGTTTTATTGGTGATTATGATAATATGCACTGCGATCTATAGGGACTTATTGTCAGCGCCTGTTTGTTTAGCCCTTTATTGCCCAAAAACGAGGATGCGGATCCTCGGAGCATCCGCTTGCGGATTTGCGAGGCGTGGATTTTAGAGGTTTATTATCCGGGCTCAGGTATGCACTTTCGGGCAGCCTGTTGTTTTGGGTTTTCCCATTTTCCGGTGCAGGTGATGCGTTCCACCAGCTTATTTTCGGGGTCGCCAGGCAGTCTGAGAATTTGCATTCCGACTCGCGGAGGCTTACCTGCTTTTAATACCTGTACCTCGTAAATCAACGAACGACATCTCGGGCCTATCGATCAAATCAACGGTCTATAAATTCTTACGCCTGCCACACATCCATCAAATGCTCGAGTTTTTTTTCTTCTTCCACTGCCAGTTGAAAATTGTTAACCGTTTGGTTTTGGGGCCCACAGCTAATTGGATTTTTGTCAACTAATCCGATTTGTTCATGTACTCGCATCTCGGAAACGGGTATACCCGTAGCCACCCGAAAAATAAAGAAGAAAAAAAATTGTAAAAACAGGCCCGTCTCCAAATTGGTTACAGTTTTAGGCTTACGAATCAACTCGATTTCGTCGCATGTCTCACTCGGTTAACCTACATTCCAGAAATGTGTCAACCAGCCCAAAACGAAAACACAAACCACTCAAAAACTACTACTACTTACTGCCCAGACTGAAGTCGAAGTAATGTCATTTGTTTGCCAACTTTTCGCCATTGTTCAAGTTTAATTAGTTGTTCAACTCTATCTATCCATCCTAGCATCCCTGCTTCCGTCTCTTTCTGGCCTTCCCTTAGCCTTTGTTGGCATAATTGAAGGGTTGAAGGCAGTCCCCAAAAGAAAGAGAGAGTAGATCTGGGTGTATCTGATTAGCAAGTCCCACAGGGAAGAACTTGGAAAAAATTCTGGGGAGCAAGCAAGTTCAAAACCAAAGAAACCCAATTACCTAAACCCAAAGTTTGCAGTTTAAATTAAACGAATAAATCAATTTGAAGATGGCAAACAGTTGACAAGTTCGTCAGCCAGCTTCTAATAAATTTCAAGTTCAACACAGACCCAGTTATAAAACAAAACTATTATGGCCAATTAATGAACTATATCAAAAGAGCCAAAACAAAGCCAGACGAAAAACTCTCACGATCGCCGATTGCTGACTCAGCTGCAGCCAAAAAATAAAGTTAAGCACCTGTCCCCACTGAAGAGGCAACAAAAAAAAAACACAGATCAAAGCCAGAAACCACCAAATAAACACACACAAAACAAAATCTTGTTAAACGTGTGATTAGCTCTTAATTTTAATGGCAAGCTAGCAGCAATAAAAATGTTGTCATCGGCCGTTCGATTCATTTTCTCACTGATTGCAACAAATGACAGCGCCACAAAAAATTAGTTGGAGAAATAAAATTAAAATAAAACAGAACAGAGCACAGAACAATTTTTTCAGCTAATTAAAAGTAAGCAAACACAGCTGCCTGACAGGAGAACAAAGTAAATACGTTCCGAAATAAATCCAAATCAAATATCAGACGCAACTGACTGAAACGATCTCCCACCGCCGATTTGCATGTCAAACGAAGTCGCAGTGGAGCTAGATTGTATCTGATGCAGCTTAGCTCAAATGACACCCATATAGCATTAATAAAGTTTTCGCTTTGCATTTGTTTCACACAAAATACTGAAAAATTATGCATGTATCTCGAACATGCCACTCGGCAATCTCGCATTTCAACACAAATAAACAGGCCTCAAAATAAAAGATAAGCGGAGGCCCACAGAAAAAAATCTGTGAATATTATGAAAATTGCGACAAATGCAAATCGAGTCTCGTTTTTATGTATGCGAACTATTTTGAGCACAGAAAAATAAAAATGGTCATTTCGGTTAAGGCGAAGGGAAAGGTTGAACATTTTTGATCAACACGGGGCATAGGTTACACATTCGAAGCGGAAAATAATTTAGGTGTAAAATTTTATAATTAAAAATCGTTGCCACTAATTGATTGCAAAGTCTGAATAAAAGTAGCAAACAGTGGGAAGGTGGTAAAAATTTGAACATATATTAATTGAAATTCCGCGGCAGCTTTCATTTTAAGCCAAAGCATTTACTGAAATTATAATAATCAGCAGTTTTCGATTGACACAAAAAAAGTAGTAAACAGTGTATAATGTTTGCACATAATAAATAAATTGTTTTGTAGCCAAAGTTTTTGTGCGTCGAGGTGTTTGTTTTTGTGCCCTGTCGCTCTGAATTTGCAATTTTCATTAATAATACATATCATAATTTTTTATGAGCGTTTTGAAATGTTGGCTTAGCGCGTGGGCCAGATGCGATGGTCTGGCCAGCATAAATTAGCCATATTAAGTGGATATTATGGAGTTTTGTAGGCCCATTCACCGACGGTCGAGTGATTGGACAAACTGGGTCTGGTGAGTGGCCCTAAAAATGTAGTATATCAGTGTGCATATTATCAAAACTCCCAATAATTGTGTTTCAACCTTGATGCATGATCTGTAGAATTAGTTCGGACGGTGTCAGCTACAAAGCTCCGGCTTCCGGTCACGAAAATGCAGATAATCATTGACAAAATGCACTTAAATAAATATTGAAATGTCAGATTACAGCATGCAATCCCTAAAAAATTGTAGTGGAGAGGTGTACGACGGACTGAAGTTAAAATAATTCAGATGAAACGAGAATCGAGTGGGTATAACATTTTTATGGGAATCTCATTTCACGTTTTGTTCTAATTTGTCAAGGTTTGCTTAATGACTTCCACTAACACTTTATTTATGTTGACAATGCGCGAATTTCATTTAAATTTTACTACTTTAATCGCCTTTGTCTTAGGAATTACGCATCCCCCTTAACAATATGGGGGAGTCATAAAAGCAAAACTGGAATATAAAGCATCTTGACACATTAAACTTGCATATCGACTCGGTATGCAAAATTCACGGATACTCGCTTCGAATCGCGCTTCCCATTTTTTGCCGACGGCAAAACAAAAGTAATAATAAAAAAATAATTTAAATTTTTGTAAAGATTTTTCTTTTATTTGTTTTTTTGTGGATTTTGTTTTTATTATTTCCAGGTGCTTGGCAATGTTTTTTTGTTGGATTTGTTTGTTTTCGCTGCCTCGCTCCATGTTTCACATTCACGTTTTGCACGTTTCTTGGTTTTTCTTTTACTAAATTTTCTTTAGGTTTACTAACATTTTTTCTTTCTGTTGTGTTTGTATTATGCAGTAGATTCATGCCTTCGTTTCGATTTATGTTTTAATAATAATAATAATTTTGTTTTTCGCTTTATTACAATTAATTATGGTTGTCTTGTCTTGTATTTGTAAGCATAATTAATAATTAAATTGTTTATATAATAGATAATAATTATAATTACTTAATGCATAAGAGAATTTATAAAATAGAATGTTTTTGACATTTTTCTTTGCTTTTCTGAAATATTTTCATCGCTCCTTTTCTCGCCTCGTATCAATTGTCTTTACTCCTACTAAACTTGTGTTTTCATTCAGCTTCCGCGTCTCTGTGTTTTTGCTTCAAATGCACATTTAATGTCTGAGAATGTTTTGTACAGCAAAAAGTGTATGGAAATGAAATGGTAAATCAAACGATTTGTTGTCTCAGTAACTCGCAACAATTTATTTGTATCACACAATTGTTTTAGCTATGCAGCAAGCGGAAAATCAAAAACGGGAAATCGAAGCAGAACAGTATGGAATGCAAGTGAGTTGTCGTCTTCCTATTGTGGTACAACAGTGCGTATGCTTCATTTAAATGACTAAACATTAATCCTACTTCATTTATTTATATGCGTTTCTTCATCTTGTTGTTGTTGTGGGTTCTTCTCTGCCACTTTGAATTAAACCTGCTTAAGAACTAAGGCTAAAATTGTGTGTGTGTGTGTGTGTGTTTGGGTGTTTGGGTGTGTGGGTGTGCGTATCCTAGGGCTTTTAGTTAATATTTTCAATAATTTACAATGTGGATATATCCAGGAGGCCAGCACTGGCGGCCACCGCTGCCTCGTGGCCAGGATGATAGTGATGGTACAGCTGGTGGTGCTGCTGCTGCTGCGGGAGGTGCTGCTGCTGCTGCTGCTGGTAGTGTTGCTGCTGCTGCTGTTGCTGCTGCTGGTAGTGGAGATGGTGGTGTTGCTGCTGCTGCTGCTCCTCGAGGTGTTGCTGCTGCATGTCCAGCATGCTGGCCGAGGCGGCGAACGAGGAGCCCGCCGCAGCTGCAGCAGCAACGGCCGCCGCAGTCGCCGCCGCAGTGGCAGCAGCAGCAGCATCTCTAGCGGAGGAGGAGGAGGGGGCGGCAGAGGGGGTCAGCTGGTAGGCGGCTGCCAAGGCGGGTGAATGCGCGGCGGTATGGCCACTGGAATGCGCCGAGGAGCGACCGCCCGACGACCCCGATGCCGTCGGACTGGGCCGTCCATTAAGCAACTGTTGCTGCTGCTGTTGCTGCTGTTGTTGCTGCTGCTGTTGCTGCTGCGAGGCCGTCGGCATGTACGGCGGCAGTGGGGGCGATACGCTCACACTGGAGCCTGCTGCTCCATAGGCGCTGGCCATTTCTCACATGTGTGCCAGCGGCGCCATTGTCCTCAGCGATTGCTGGTGTTGCAGGTGGTGTTGCTGCTGCTGCTGCTGCATCGACTGGTGTTGCTGCGGGATCTGCTGGTGCTGCTGCGGGAGGTGTTGCTGCGTGAGGTGCTGCTGCTGCTGCTGCTGTTGCTGCTGCTGCTGCTGTTGCATCGCCTGGTGTTGCTGCTGCAGATCGGGCGAGTCAGTCTGATAGTGGAGCAGGTGTCGCTGCTCGTCGGGCAGATGGTACATGTTCATCAGGTGATTCAGCTCCCCGCCGCCGGCGGCTGCTGCTGCTGCTGCTGCCGCCGCTGCCGCTGCCGCCGAGCTGTACTCCCGCTTCATGATGTGGTTGTTGTTGATGTTGTTGTTGTTGTTCAGCGCTATGGCACTTGGGCTGGGCGACACCGGCTCCGACTTGATGCTCGAATCGCTGGGGCTATGGCTCTGGCACGAGACCTGGGTGCCACTGCCTCCTCCTCCGCCCCCGCCGTAGGGAGCCGGGCTGCCCGGCTGCTGTTGCAAGCTGCTGCCGCCGTACGGCGACGGCGATCCCGGCTGCTGCAGGCTGCTGCCGTACGGCGATGTCTGTCCGCCGGACACCGTCTGGTACATCGCATACCCGTTGTTATACATGTGGCCCATGTCGTACCGCTGCGCCGCGTAGTGCTGCCCCATGTAGGAGGTCTGGTAGGCTGCCGCTCCGGCGGGATCCGCGTGCATCATGTAGCCGTTCGGCATGTATCCATTCGGCGCGTTCATCTGGTACATATCCTGGCGCGCCTGCTGCGCTGCTGCTGCTGCCGCCGCCGCCGCTGCCGCTGCACTGCCTCCGCTGCCATTGAGCGACTGATTCTGGCCCGGCTGACCCTGCACTCGGGTGGGGGTCACCGGCTCACCGGGCGCTCCGCCACCCACCGCCTGGCCGGGCATCAGGCCACCCATCGGGTACTTCTCCTTGGTCTTGGTCAGCGTTTTGGTCTTGCGGCGTGGTCGGTATTTGTAGTCCGGATGCTCCTTCATGTGCACCGCCCTCAGCCGCTTGGCCTCGTCGATGAACGGACGCTTCTCCGACTCCGAGAGGTCCTTCCACTGGGCTCCCAATCGCTTCGAGATCTCCGAGTTGTGCATCTTGGGGTTGTCCGAGGCCATCTTCCTCCGCTGGCCGCGGGACCAGACCATGAACGCGTTCATCGGACGCTTCACCCGATCCGCGTGCTGCTGGTTCTTGTTGGCCGTGGCGCTGTTGTTGTTGTTGTTGCTGGAACCGCCGGTCAAACTGCTCAAAGCGGATCCGGCGGCCAGGTGTTGCTGCTGGGAGTGCTGCTGCTGCTGCTGCTGTTGCTGCTGCTGGTGCTGCTGCTGCTGGTGGCTAACCGGCGAGGTCATGTGGTGGCTGCCGATGCTGCTCTGCGTGGGACTCAGTTCGCTGGAGCTGTGGAGCGGGGAGCTCTGCTGCTGCTGCTGCTGCCCCACCTGGCCGCCATTCAGCGTGTTGGCCATCGAGGACTGGAGGGAGCTGAGCGGATTGGGACTCTGGCTGGCCGCGATGTGGGCGCTCATGTGGTGGTGGTGGTGGTTGTGGTGGCTCAGCTGCGAGTGGGTCAGGTGCGACTGGCCCAGGTTCATCAGCGGTGCCAATGCGGAATATGGCGAGGCGGCGTGGCCGTGCAACGCGGCACTCGTGTGGTGGGGCGGCATGGTGGCATGCAGCAGGCTGCCCTTCATATCCGATTCCATGGTCAGCATCTTGCGGGGATTGCTTCCTGTTTCAGTTTCGACTGAAGGTTTACAAACTCTTGATGATCCGGCAGAAGATCGGTCGCTTGATTTAACTTTGTTTTTTGTTGGCTGCTACTTTTTAGTTTTAGGCTACGCTTTAGTTAGACATTTTGAACATTTTGTGGGAAACCATGTTGCACTTGTAATTTACTTTTTCGTTTTTTTGATTTTGGCTGTAGTTTGTAGCTGCTCGTGGCTTAAAATTGCATAACAAACTTCGTGTTGTTACTTTTTACTTTGTTTCGCGTATCAAAAATTTAGCTTTGGCTCTCTTTGGGATTTTTGGCTAAACAGCTTTAGCTTTTTGTTGTTTTTTCCACAGTCACAAATATTTCTTCTATGCCGCTGTGTTTGCGTTTTGCGAACAAACAAGGCGGGCGGCGAAAACACTTGAAAATTGTTGTTAAAACCCGACGCGAAAGTGCCTCAGAAAGTTGTTGTTATTCATTTGATGTATTATTTATTTTGTATATTCTCGTTGCGGGAACACCGAAAAAATACCTCCACACTGGGCGGAATTGAGCACCTTTCTGTTTCTCCGGACGACGGCGAAACCTGTTCGAGGTGCGTTCTACGCTGCTTTTTCCTGGCTATAATACGTTTGTATCTTTCGGTTCTTTTTCCTTTTTTTTCTCTCTTTATTGGGCTGACGTTTTTTTTTTTCTTGTTGTATTTGTAGGTGTTTTTTTTTCGTATATTTTTTGTTTTTTTCGGCTGATGACGAGGCACGAAGCGAGTTACCGAGACCGAGACGACACGAAAACGAAACGAAAACCGAAACAGCGAACCAGCGAACCGAGTTGCTGCTGCTGGCGCACTGATGTTGCTGCCGTGCTGCTGATGTTGCTGCCGTACTGCCGCCTGATGTTGCTGCCGTACGTTTCCCGTTTGCCGTTTAGCGTTCTGCGTTTTGCGTGCGCGTGTGCTGACGACGGCGAATGCGAGAGTCGAATGAGAGACGGTGTGCCGCTGGCCGCTCGAGCAGGCGGTCGAAGCAGTCGAAGCGGTCGCTCGGTCCGCCAGACAGGGTGGCTGGAAAAACTGGTCCGGCCGGGTGTATCTGCATCTGTATCTGTGTACCGTATCTGTAGCTGCGTGTGCTCGTGTATCTGTGTGTGCTCGCTGAACGAGTGTGCGTCGGCATTTGCCAGCTGGAATGCCTTGGCGAGAAAGAGATGAATATATGCGCTCGTGGCCCTGCTAATAAATCAAATAAACGCTCGGCTTTCGCTGTGTGTATCGGTGTGCGGTGAGCGCTTGCTGGGTTGGATTTTGCGCACTCAGCTCCACCAATCAGCAGCGGGAGCGAGCGGTGCGGCAGTATGGATCTCTCGCTCCAACACTTTATCGATCCACGCTGCGCCTGGCGCTGCCATAAAAATGTCGTCTTTGGGTTTATGGCAAGCGCTGTTGCCGCTTTTCCACCGAAACTCTAGAGGAATTTTTCGCCATGGCTCGGTGTATGAATTTCGAGCTTTAAACATGGCCGATATGGGTGGTTGGCCAAAAGGGGGTGGGGTGAGGGGGCAGCAGGGGGGAGCCAGGGATCCAGGGACCCAGGGGCCTTAGTGTTTGCGGCGTTTTCGCCGTTAGAGCGCGTCTCACGCGCATAGTTTTTGCTGGTTTTTCCTCCTATTTTTTTTTTTTTTGGGGCCTCAGCTATACATAAAATATATATACAAAAAAATATATATATATATACAGGGTAGTCTATCTGCGTCTTGTGCAGCGCGCTTCTTATTAACCTAATGGGTTTGCCAAGGTAGCTGACGAATAATTGTGTAGGCAGGCAGGCAGTCGGCAGATGGAAAAATTTATTAAGCAAGTGCACTGCAGCTGGCAACTGCGAATGTATCTTGCAGGTTGCAATCTCGGCCCTCGGCGAAACTTTGATGCGGTTTGGCATCCGCTCACGTCTATCCACCACACGAGCTGCTCCGTCCCCCCACATTGTCTTAGGCCCCCACATTCCCACATCCCCAGTCCCCATTTAATTTACCTTCCCCTCGATTAATGTGTTTTTTTTGCCTGCTCTGGTACTTCTCATTTCGGGTTTCCATGAGTAAGTCTCGCATTTTTTGTTCGACTTTCAGCGGCGGAAAGTGATTGGATTCTAGTTCTCAGCTGATTAACGCACCTCACTGAAATGCGAGCCAGGTGGAAATCGATTAATGAACGATTAAATCACATTTGAACTCAATTCTTTAAAGATGAGAGCCAAATCATGACTTAATTGTAGTAAAGTTAAATCTTTAAAATAACTAACTAGATAAGTCAATTTTGGTTTATTATTAATCATGTTATTTTTATTAAAGAAGTGTTTGCTAATTATATAAAAATAAAGAACTTTTATTTGTGTACAACATTTATAGGTTAAATTTATTTAACTATGTAAAGTGCAATTTAAGATGTAGAAACTCCAACGATTGGTTGATTGGATAAAAGTGTACCAAAGAGAACCATAAGAAATTTGTTTAATGAGCTGATTGCTTTTACTCCCATTATGAATTTCTTAAGAAATAAATGTTTGAGTAAGTAACAGCAAGACAATATCCAATTTTGAATATGTTAAACAAAAATTAAATATTAACTCTGTTACAAAATGTATCCTTTCCTTTAAGCAGACCCGGAATTTCTTTTGTGAAATTCTTGAAGCATCGACGTCTTAATTCCTGCAAGTCATCAAACACTTGAAGCGAGCTACTAACCCATTAAAAATGTATAATGCAAACAAAGCCGATATGTGGGCTCGGCAGCCTAATGAATTTATGGCCAATTGCAAATCATTTGACAATGAAGCGAAAACACAGGGGGAACGGCGATAATAAAGACCGGCAAACAATGCGAAACCTGCCCCAGTAACTGACCTACAACAAAGCAACATCAACATCAACATCAACCGAAAACTGAAAACTGAAAACTAAAAACAGAAAGCAGAACGCAAATCTTAACCGCAAAAAGTTGGCCAAAGAAAAGGAATAAGTCAAAGTCGTTGTTGATTCTTCAGTAGCTATTGTGTAATGGCAAATACAAATTGAGAAGAAAAAAAAAACAAACAATTCTGGGTTCATTATCAATGTACTTGCCCTGACTGTTTTGTGTTATTATTGTATGAGTACATTCGTGCAGGCATCGATTCTTTCGATGGGAAGACTGTTGCTCTTCAGAAAGCCTTTGCCATTCAGCTGAAAATGGGGGAAAACAAGCCGAAACCCGAAAACCGAGAATCGAGAATCAAGAACCGAACCAGACCAAACCCAGACTTGGACTCAGACTGGGACTCAGACTCCGATTCCGATTCGGATTCGGATTCTGAATCGGATTCGGATTCGGATCCAGAATGAGCGACGAGTAGACACTCAGACGGCTTTGTTGCCGCTATTTGTGTTTTATGTTTTATGTTTGACGTTTGAGCGTGCTGGGCGCGTGTGAATGAAAAGGAAGCTCACTCACAAACACTCGCCGAGCCATACAAAAAACAAAGTCAAGGTCATTGTAAAGAGTTTTAATTGTTCACACACAAAAAAATAAAAATACTCTCCTCTCCTCTACTCACACACACACACACAGAAGAGGGGAAATAAAGCAGAAAAATACAAGCACGCCCAACAATGGGCGGGAGAGCATTGCACAAACAAACAGGCAAACATTCGTACATAATAAAAGAAATAAAAACGCAACAACAACAATAGCAGCAACAACTACGGGCGGACAATGGCAAAATGGCAACAAGAGGAGCAGCGCCAGCAACAACAAAAGATAGAATTGGCAAGTAAACAAGTTGAGCAAATCTGAATAAGTCCATGAAGAATATATTGGACAGGACCTGTTCAAGTCTTTGGCTAAAAATGAACAAATTATGCATGCATTGAATGAATACGTTTGATATTTTAGTCAAGAAAATGGGACTTGAAAAGTAATAACTAGAACACGAAAAGAAGCGATGCATAAGATCAAAATAATATCAAAAACATATTAAATAAAGGCTTAAGATGATATCTACATTTTTGGATTGGAAACATAAAGACTTACAAAATGCTAATGTTTCAGCCATCAGGAAAAAAGTAATACAAAGTAATTGTCATCTTTCATTGCAGTTCATACGTGTATATGTTAATCCATTATTTCTGTTAAACTAAGATAACCTGATAAAAACTTTAAATCTACATTAAAGCCACAGACCTTGTAATTAGAATTATCATTTTCTATTGACTATAAAAAATTTATTTGTCGACAAACATACCATTAAAACCTTTAGATGGCTAATAAAAGTATAAATGTGTTTTTTATGGCTTTCAATAATCATAAAAACGTATTTGCATTTGTCTGCCCCCAGTTGACACCGACAGAAAGTTGCTCAAACGATACAAATACCCTTTTAGTGACGTAGACCATATTGCATCCGTTTTGCTGGCTAAAACTTTAGCCACTCCTTGCTTGCCGCATTCTGCGCCACTTTCGCTCGCCGGCCCTCTTTTTCTGCCGCCGTGTTGACTCTAAACTCGGATCTGAATGTTCCCTAAATGCTTTGCTCTTGCAACTTTGCCGGCAACTGTTTTACGAGTTTATCCGTTTAACAACGCCCGAAAAAGAAAGCGGTGAAAAAAAAAAACAAAAATCTGCAAACACTCACCCGGCCGAGAACAAAAACAAGTGCAGAAAAACGTATATTACGTATACGACCCGTCTCGACACTTGTAGACGAACCCACACACACACACTTACGCTCACACAGAGGTGCACACACACAGGAGGAGCAAGCGAGATACGGCTAGTGTGGAAAAGAGACGCCCTCACACACACACTCACACTCGCAGACACAGACACAGACGCTATTCAGACTTATATTCATTTTACACATTCATTTCCTCATTCAATTCGCAATTGTATACGAAATTTCAATTGTTTGTTGAATGTATTATATGCGTTGTGGCGATGGAAAGGCCCTGTTGTTGCTACAGATGGTGATGATGATGACGTTGTTGAAAATTGCATTCCCTTGCGAAGTTCAGGGCGTGCTCGTATGTGTGTGTGTGTGTGTTGGTGTTGGTGTGTGTATGTGGCCACATAGCCATACTATTTGGCAACAGGTTGCTCTCCGCTCGGCGTCTAGCTTTTGAAATCCTGCCACAGGGAGACAAAGGCTCTCTGTGTATTTCTGTGTGTGTGTGTGTGTATATCCTGATTGCATGATGATGATAAGCGCGAAGTTCTGGCCATTGAAATTGCGAACGTGTTGATGAGTGCCGCATTCATTCATTCATTCAGTCAGTCAGTCAGTCAGTCATTCACTCGCCTTGATTGTCGGGACTTCCATTCTCCATTCTCGATTCTGTTCCGGCTAAAAGTGAAAGTCGGTCGGTCGGTTGGTTGGTTGGTTGGTTGGATGGCTGCTTGGTTAGTTGGGTCGGGTCTGAATGGGTTGGTTAGTCGGAATAGTTAGGATGGTTAGGACGGCTGCATGTCTGACTGTCTGTTAGTCTGTCGCCAGCAGAACAATAAAATGGCATTAGTTTTTGGGCTCTGAACTTGATGCAGGGCATTGCGAACAATAAAGGTGGCAACGGCATTGGGGGCCGAAGGCCTGTCATCGATTTTATGCGGTCAAACGAGAGGGATGTACACATACCAAGTGAGCGAGAGAGAGAAAGGGAGCGAGATAGAAGTAGAGATAGAGAGACCTGCCCCACATTCCACACAGTCTATTCACAGGGACGAACCCCCAAAGAGTTGAAAAGTGAAAGATGCAAATAATGGCTCAGCCGAACTGCCTGCCATCCTGCCATCCCTCTCGCACTCGTGCAAAGGAGTCCAGCGTAGACGGGGCGTGTTTGTCAGCCAAGGCGAACAATGAGCCAAAGATATTATATCTTATTGTTATTCTGTATTATTTTTGTGTCATTGAACTTATTTCGCCATAAAGGAAAAGTGAGTAAGGCCATCGGAATACCAACACGAGCGAGCAGGATGGCTAGACGGAGCGAGAGGGACAGGAGAACGCAATCATAATCAATAGGGAGATTGCAATTGTTTTTGCCAGCCTGTTTTTTATTCCTTATTTTCCTGAATGGTTATTGAGCGCCCACACAAAGGAATTTAACTGTTTCACAGACGACCCGGCAGACAGATCGCCAGACAATTCAGCGATTAGGGAATTGATTTTTCATTTGCTGAGCGGTTAAAGACATTTTAAAGCTTCAAA